GGGGGGGGGGGGGGGGGGGGGGGGGGGGGGGGGGGGGGGGGGGGGGGGGGGGGGGGGGGGGGGGGTAATCTCTAGCGTTCGCGGTCGCGTCAGGGTTCATTTCGGTGGCCTCAGCTGATGCACAGGGTACGCGCGGGCCAACCGCGACAAGACGTGATCAGGTAGACAGACAATCACATCATGATGTGTTGTTGTCTTCACATATTGAAAACCGTTCCCATCTCCCCTCAGTACCTCCCAATATCCGTACTGGTCCAAATGACGCGGACGCCTTCCGTGGTCACAAGCCAACTACCCCCAAAAGGTGAAACACCTCACTTACATAAAAAAAAAAACTTCGGATACACAAGAAAATAAGAAAGCATCCCATGACCGCGAAGACAAACCGCACGACCGTAAGCACCGACACTCACCTCCACGCGCACCTGCAGCTGCATGAAAGATCCACATGAACGACCGCATCGCAGACACACACGCACACACCTTTCTCGACGGCGCCCTTCTGGAAGAACACCGTAGCGGCCAGCACCCCGATGAAGGCGTTCTTGAACAGCAGCGCCTTGAGCGTGTCCTTCCGGCGGGCCTGCACCGTCCACCCCCGACCCCACACCGCCGACACCTGCGCCCAGAACCCCACGGCGTGCGAGGACTCCTCGAACCATCCCCCGATGCCCCACGGCTGCCGCTGCAGCAGCTCCAGGGTCGTCGTGCCCTCCTCCTTCCCTTCCTCCGCCCCCTCCTCCTCAGCGTAGCCGCCCTTGCCCCCGTAGGCCGCCGGCTTTCCGCCGGGGGGCTCGTTGAACAAGCCCTTCTCCGCGTCCTCGTAGAGGTAGTCCCCGCCCATCGTCGATCCGCCGCCGCCGCCGCCGCCGCCACCATCTCCGACCCCGAGCAGGGAAGAAGGGTCCACGCCGATAAGCCCCTGGGGGGAAGTGGACGCCGAAGAGTGGATGGAGGAGGAGGCGTACGACGGTTCGGGTGAGCGCGCTCCCCTCCTCGACGCCCGGCCCCCTTCTTGTTGCGAAGACTGCAGGACAGCCTTCGCGGCGAGGAGGATGAACTCCGCCGAGTTCTGCCCCGGAGTGGGCATGATCCCGAGCTCCGGCCTGTTTTTTATTTGTGTGGTGGGAAAACCAACGAAAACGGACGACAGTGGACGGGTAGTGTGGACGGAGAGAGAGGGAGAGAGAGGGGTGGGGGGGGAGAGAGCTAAGTGAGCCAAGGAAAACGCTAAAAGAGGAGAGCCTTGCCAGGCCTAACATACACCAACGCATTGTTGTTAGGTTGGTTACACGCTTCCAGGGAAATACAAGTGTCGAAGTATATCGAAAGCTGCGTTGTTCATGCTGCCGAAACAAATATGCACATGCATACTCGCCAAATGTTGTGGCCGACGCCGCTGCAAGCCGGGGCATTTTAGGGTACGGTCTGATATTGTATTTTCCAGAGAGGAGGGTGCGTGAAAACTACTCCTCACGAAATCGTGCCCGACAACCTGTCGACAATACCAACGGCGAACAACCATGACGACCAGAAGGAAGTACAATGTATGGCACAGAAAGTAGACTGACCTCGAAAGGATGTCAGCCGCCTTGGAAGCCGAACCGAAGAACGCCTGACGACCGCCCACCATAACAAGCACCTGCTCCAAAGAGAACAGGGGGGGGGAGAGAGAAGCGAAAGAGTTGAAGCACGAAGTAAATGTAGAGATTGGTGAAGTAGAGGAAGCAAAACAAACCAGGGTTTAGGCCCCAGTGTACGAGTAATCCCACATGTACCGCATACGCTCGTGGTTCGGTGGGTGAGGAACAGGAATGCATTGGCAACCCCATCGACGAGTTCAGTCAACGTGCGCTATTTGTTGTCCCTGTCGCAAACATCCCTATAGCAAGTATTGTCCGTCCCGTGCAACCTCCATACTCCCGCTTTCTTTCACTCTTCGGCCTGCCTGTCTGTCTCTTTCCCTGCCTGCCTGCCTGCCCATCGGTCTGTGCCTCCCTCTCTTGCCTATGCTTGCACCACGTGCATGTACCTAAAACAAAGCAATACATACAGTCTGTTCCCCCTCCTCGAGTCGTCCGTCTTACCTTGTCGAACAGCGAGAACATCTCTGCGGACGGCTGGTGCACCGAGGCCACCACCACCCGCCTGTCCCGCCGGGAGGCCAGCTTCCTCGCAAGCAGCATCACCTCCGCCGCCGAGGAGGAATCTAGACCCTGGGTGACACGCGAACGCGGGGGACGTTACATTGGAGGAAGGGAGGGAGGGAGGGAGGGAGGGAGGGAGAAGGAGGGAGAGGGGAGGGAGAGGGGGCAGAACAAGGAGACAGAGAGAGACACACAGAGGGCGAGAGGGGGAGAGAAAGCACGGGTCAACATAACAGTCGCGGCCTTGCTTGCAAAGGCACCCCGAAGTCGATCAGGATCGCAGAAAGCTAGCAGTGTGCTTCAGCCGAGGTACAGCAATTAGACGGCATCGATACCAGCAACAATAGCAAGTCCATGACAGCCATCACCTACACAAGCAGCACCACGGCAAGCTGCATGGACTACAGCAACGTTGCCATGAGCAACAGCATACTGTAGCTACCAACGTACACAACAACGATCGTCTAACGACCGTCATCGGAGCCTTCAAACTCCTCGAGAACGTTACGACAGCCTGCGAACACTATCCCGAGTGCTGAACCACAAACTAGACAAAGGATAAGGTTTCATGTACCTTGGCACCAGCCAGCAGGTCTCTTTTGGCTACCTTGTGTGCCTGCATGCCACGGGACGACGGTCTGGGCTCGCACCATTGATTTTTTATTTTCTTACACGACCAACGCATCATCGCTCGGTTTCGGAGGCACGACCAACCATGAGCCCAAACCCTTTCTCTCTCTCACCGTCGTGGGCTCATCGAGGAGGAGAAGACGCACGCTCTCCAGGGCCGCCACACCGATGCCCATCGAGAGACGCCTAGCCTCGCCGCCACTGATGCCCCTCTCGAGGGGGTTGCCCACCCTAACATCGGCGCAGGCCCTCAGGCCGAGCACGTCGAGGAGCTCCTCCACACGAGCCCGCCGATCTCTTTCCCTGTGCATGGATTAAGGCAACGGGGTAATGTTTCAACAACACGAAATCATGGTACAGCACACACACGGCACGAGAGTCGTGTGGACGCCTTTAGAAGAAACACGCGTGTCGATGGGCACACTAGGTTGGTTCTACTATCCCCATCGCGATAGACCGGAGTTGCCTACCGCAAAGGGGAACATTCGATAAAAACAGTTGGATAAAGCAAGCAAGCGCGGTGATTTATCGTTTGCGGTTATTCCGCACAGATACTGGAGATCCCAAACTTGGAGATGCCAAAACCCCACCCTACCGAAGCGCGCCACGTTAATAATACTGCTGTGCAAATACAGTAGTGGGTTGCCGCTGCAAATTTTCTTGAAATGGAAATAGCGCAAATGGATGAATTCGGCTCAAGACACAAGAAGAGCCATTGCAGATATTTGCAAGTGCTGATCTGGCCGATCGGGACCCTCTACAAGCGCACGATGAATCAACGGTTCAGATGGCGTGAGGTGTGTGATGACGCCGCAAACTGGGCTACACAGCGTCATACAAACATCCACAGGCATGATCCCGGCAGGGACCATACAGACTATTGGTGTGTCATGCATACCATCCAACCCTACTTTAAAAAAAAAACTGAAAAGTCCCCACTCATGAGGCCATCACAACCATAGGAAACACCACCACAACGCATTACAGGCAGGCGCACACGCACCTTCCGCCCATAGACAGGCGAACCGCGAAAGCGAGGCTCTCTCGCACGGTCAGCTCGGCCACGTGGAAGTCGTCCTGGGTAACGTAGACCGACGGCCGCCCCTGGCCCTTGCCGCCTCTCCTCCACCTGCCGATCCCGCCTCCGCCGCCGCCGGATTGCGTGAGAAGTATCTGGCCCGCGCACTCCCCCTCCTTCTTCTTCCCTGCCAGGAGGTCCAGGAAGGTAGACTTGCCCGCACCAGATGCTCCCTATCGATGGACGACGCGCGCGGACATGCGCAGCAGCGTGAGTATAATAATGCATGCATACATTTCATTTCGAAAATCCGAAAAAACAAAAGAGGCACCGGAGGGCACAATAGTTTTTCGGGTCCAATGGGTCCAAATGGAGGGACAAACGGACCTCCAAGCTAGAGAGAGGCAACAACGGCAACAAAGAATAAAGGTGCAATGCAGTAACAATAAGCACAGGTCCACAGCTCTCGTGACCGCAGACGCGGGGGCGCCAAAACACGTACTTGCGGTGGGAAATTACGGAAAGAACAGGGTACGTATCTTAAATAATCCAAGAACTGGCGAGTCAAGTCAAGCGTTGAAGCGCAAACCGACCCAACGGCAATGAATCATCTCGTACAGCAGGATCCGCTACGCGCCCCCGGTACGCTGCTATGATAGGGGCAAACCGCCTGCTGCGCCGCGGTCTTCATGCACGCGGCTTGCCGCCGCCCTAACCGACCCCCCACGGCAGAGCGCCACGCGTGCGAAAGACTCACGATGACGGCCACCATGTCTCCGGCGCAGAAGCGGCAGTTCACGCCCTGGGTCAGCACCCGTTTCTTCTTCTCTCGAAGGACGCTTGACACGGGCGCAGCAGACTCGACTCGAGTCGCCGCGGGCGCAGAGGCTCGCGCCACGGCCCCCTTGTCCTTCCGGAAAATCTTCAGCAAGGCGCCGCCGCGGAAGGAGTATCCCGTCTGCCGCCTCTTGCCGGGAGGCAGGGCGGGGGCAACTGGAGCCGGAGGAGGAGCGGCGGCGGTGGCGGTAGGAGGAAGCTCGATCGCGTAGTAGAGGTCCTTCACCTCGCAGATCACCTCCCCCTCCTGCTGCTGTTGCTCCGCCAACCTGTCGTACGACGGCTCCTCGCCGTCATCCTGCTGCTGAGTGGGGGGAGGAGAAGCCGCCGGCTGCTTGCCCTGCTCCGCTGCTGCTGCCCGTCGTTGGGGTAACGGCGCGGCCGAAGACGTCCACCTCGAAGGTGAGCGGGGAGGCGCACCACCTCCCGCAGGCGCACCGGTCTTGAAATTGTTGGGAGCCATCGCGGTGCGCAATCCGGCGGGCGCCCTTAGAGCGCTGCTGCTGCTGCTAGCACCTGCACCACGAGCGGCAAGGCTTCCGCTGCTGCCCAGCTGGTGAGCTGCGGTAAGGGCGGGAGACGAGGACCTGGACACAGAGGACCGGGATGCCTCGTCTTCGCTGCTGTACACGCCGAACAGAGACGCAGAGGCCTCGGCCAGGATGTCAAAGGCGCGTAACTGCCGTTGGTAAGCCTCCTCTTCCTCAGTCAACGCCGCCGCCGCTCCTCCTCCTCCTCCTCCTGCGCTGCTGGCGCTGCTGGGCTGTCGGCTGCTGCTGTTAGTAGAATTTTTTGTGCTATGCATGTCTCTCCGGCTCATGTGTCCATGCTCTTCGGGTCCGGCTTTGCTCTCACGTGCTATGACTGACGCATGATGGTCGAAAAAAAATCATACATGCCCACGACACTGTGCTGGGGGCGACGGCCAATCAATACACCACCCCGATCTTGCAGTGCGCTGTTGCCTCTCCAGGCTCTGCAGCTGTGACAGCTCTCGCCAAACGCCAAGCGAGTCAACACAGCATCATGACTCTGGGATTAGCGGTAACTACGAGAGTCGTAGCTGCGGCAGCTGTGCCCGCGCTTTTCCTGTCGGCTTCGCAATGCAGCACGGCGTTCGTTCTGCGATCGTCTCTGGGCAGCAGCGACAGGACTGCTGCAACAACGATGCACGAGCGGCGGTCGGCAACAACCTCGACGCTGTATAGAGGAGCCCAGCGAACGAGAGGCACACCGCTGCTCTCGCCCGGTGCCCTAAGGACGAGCGGGTACCGAGAAAGAGGAGTGCATCTGATGATGGCGGCGGAGCCCACAGAGGATTCAGTAGCCGAGGCTGCCGCTGCTGCTGCTGCTGCTGCCGCCGCCGCCGCTGAGGAGCCGTCCATTTCCGAAGGAGAGGAGGCGGTTGAGTACGACGAGGCGTCGGGGGGTGGATACGGAGAGACGGAGGTGGTGGCGGAGGAGGGAGACGGAACGGAAGGGGAGAAGGAGGAGGAGGAGGAGCAGGAGGAGGTTGACCCCATGGCAGAAGTCAAGCAACAAATCAAGGTGCGTGAGTACTGCGATACTTCATGTGAACATGCTACGTGTCAGCTTGGGTACACCGCGCACGGCGACTTACATACCTCGAGCGGTATGCACTCGCTCCGTGGCGATCACACCACAGCGCAACACCATAGCGGTTAGCTGCCACGAGTTCCCGTGAGGTTTTTTCCTGGAATGCAACATGCTCCATGATGCTGCTGGCGAAGCAGGGCCGTGCGGCGAAAGGTTGCGAAGAGGTTGATGTTGTCTATCTTTTCTAGAAACGAGCGCGAAAAAGATTTGGATTTCATGTAAGAGATTTCCAAGCCCTGGGTTGGTGCTGCTCACAGAACTCCGTCGTGTGTTGGTGCTGGTTGGTGCTACATTCTCATGGTGTGGGGGGGGGAGGCGTGCATGCCGTAGCGGTTAAGACCATTGACCATGCGTCCTCGAGAGGACGGAGCATTGTTTCCACAAGACCAATCGTTCCTTCCTACTTTGCCAAAGGTGACTCAACAATGTGTCCTACAAACGTCATATATCCAATTAATGCCCATCGATTGTCACTTTCGGCCTTTTCAACCTACTTCAGAGGCTCAGTCATGTGCACTTCCCTCTCCTTCTGGTGCAACCGACATTCCGCAACTACATGAACCCGGTCTTCGCACTCGGAGCCGCCTTCACATTTGAAGTTGTCGTCTTCGTCTACCTTTGAAATCTTCGTCTGCGTTCTCGGAGGCCAGTGTCCCCGGTCCTAAATTCGACCCTCAGCTTTGCCCCTGCATCCATTGGTCCATGTAGGTACTCCTTGAACCCTTTTCCCTTCTTTCAACATTCCCTACACATGTAAACCCTCTGTTTTCTCGGATTATTTCCTTAGATCGTGTTCTCTCTTGACGAAAGCAACGGATACCTTCTCCTCGCACGCCTCTAGGCCTTCCGTTCCCAGCGTTTCAACTTCGTCAATTTTCGAACTCCTTCCATTCGTCATCTACAACCTTGACCCACAACGTGGATTATCTACCCTTCGTCTTGTTTGCCCGCGTCACCTCCCAAGCTATTCCCGGCAGCCTCTCCTCTCACATACCGCACATGCGGTGCTTCCATGTCAGCTTCCTTGCGTCTCTTCCCGATCGTACGGATTGGATCCCCATTTCTGCCCTAGTGGCTGCATTACTTGTGCGCTTGGATCATCCTACAGGATGGTTTTCGCTGCTTTCATCTGCGCAGCCTCGAGCTCTTTGACGACCTTCTTATTTCCTTCCCATACTACTCCGGCGTACTCTACCGGCGGTACGAATACGCCCTTCACAACCGTCAGTTTGATGCGTGTGTCGATGTGCCGGTTTGCGAGTATTGGGTGCAGCCTCCCTGTTCGTGCTTTGCCCTTGTCCGCTACCTTGAACATGTGTGCATTCCACGAGCAGTCTTTTGCGATATCTACTCCGAGATGTTTCTTCTGGTCCACTACTGCAAGCTCATCAACCCCCCACTTCCATCTATTCTGTGTTGGTTTCTCCCTCTTCTTTCGAACCTGCTTGGCCCTCACTTGTCCTATCTTCCTTCTCGAGTACTCCAACTATCCTGTCGTTCAGCAGCTTGCATGGCGGTGGGGGCGTGGGTATAGTCGACCGTACCTTCGATAGGAGGATCGCTGTGCGAGGCGTCCTATTTGATCCCCAAGCGGTGTGCGATGCATGAATCTGGAAGGAATCGTGTCGCACCTCCCGTGTAACATGCGCGCTAAGTGATGGGCAGAGAGATCATTATGAGACAGTTCTGTACGCTCGCGGATGGCGACGCGGTTATCAGATCGTGGAAATGCCGCACGAGACTTCTCCCCTTCACCCCTCTTAGCAAGCGATTGGCGGCATTGCTGCAGTGTTTCCCCTGAGAGTGCATCTAAATAGATCGTACAGCACTGGCGATTACTCGGCTACGTAATTGGTGAGGACTCAGAGGTCAAACACGTCTGGATATGAATCGCTCCGTTGCAGTGGAATTATGTTTCCGCTTGCATATTGATAGATCAAATCACACGGCAAAAAAAAAGATTTAGCGCTTTATCTGTGTGTTTGTCTGGTCTACACACTTTTCGGTGTATATGTATGCTTGGGGTATCAGCCAGGGTCACACAGGAGGGAGGTCATACCATATTTGTGCTTCACTGTCAGTGCCCAGCCCTTTGTCATGTGGTGCTTGCCTTGGTTTTGATCGCGGGAAGGTTTCAGCCGCTCCTTTCCCTCGTGGACCATGAAATCGAAGCGTCTGCTGATGAATTGACAACATTTCCACCGCAAGGTGCAGAGCTCCATGCTTCCCCCCAGAGCGAATCGAGCTCCAACCTGTTACAAGCAGATGCATAGTCCGAACGCTAGACCATGCTCTGGGTTGAATTCGACTCAAAGCCAAACTACTGCGCCTATACGTTTCACACCGAACGAAGACATGGTCCTTTCTAGACGAATCACAATTTCCACTCACATAATCACGAACCGGACCGATGTGTAACTAGTCTATTAAATGACTCCAAAATGTTATGCAATATCTAAAGCGTCTCTCAATTCCTACCTAACAGGATCTCGAGACGGAGCTGATGAAGGAGGAGAATCGCCTCAGGGATGTCCAAGACTCGGTGCAGGAGAAGGGGCAGATGGGGTTCCTGAGAATGGCGGCCCAGGTGGACAACTTCCGCAAGTCGAGCGGGGCCGGGACAGGGGACTACGAGGCGGACGCGAAGGCCGCCGTGCTGAGGGCGATGCTACCGGCGTTCGAGCCGTTTGAGGCCGCGGAGGAGGTGCGCTTGTTGTTCTTGTGGTTTGTTTATGTGGTGGCGGGAGGGCCATTGGCCGTTTGCGGCCGCTCAGGAGGTGGGCGTGTTGTCGTGGTTTGTGGTGTTGTTGGCGGTAGTGGCATTGGCCGTTCTGAGGCTGCTGAGGAGGAGGGTTGTTGTTGTTGTTGTTGTGGTTCGTGGCAGTGTCATTGAGGCTTTTGATGAGTTGGGCCTGTTTTCCTTGTGGTTTGTGGTGGTGGTGCCTGTTTGAGGCTGCTGGGGAGCAGGGGGTTTATGTAGCGGATGCAGACTAGATTATCCTCGCACGCACTTCGATTCTCCTGACAATTGGCAGATGGGGTGTGATGGTCTGCTGGAAAGTATTGCATCCAGTAGCACACCCGCTCCTGCTTCACGTGGAGTCTTGAAACGGAGTGTGGTTGAGCATGAGAATGTACGGGCACGACTACACAAGCGGTCATGTCGCTTTGATCTCGCAAAGCCCGTGCGTGGTGCTGCGAACGATGCCGATTTATCTTGAGCCTTTCGGGGGATCGCAAAAGAGCTGTGTGTTACCATGTGCCGTCGGTTAATGGTGTTCGTGGTCGGTTAGCGCATTGATCGTACAAAGAGCACGCCAGTAGTGAGAGGTGTTTCCTATTGGCTTTTTTTGCTGCTGGTGAAGGGATTGCCTTTCGGGCCGCATGGTGGTCGTGGTGGTGGTTGTCAAGGCGGAGGAACCACAGCCTGCCTTGCAGGAATCCCCATCGCTCGTGCTGATGGCATCGACTACTGTGCACCTACCACTTGTGGTCGCCGTGTCACGATAAATACCATCGGTGTTTTCGTCTGGCTCGAGTTCTGACTCTCACTTTGTATGCATCGCGTGGCGCTGTTGGCCGACCGTGGCTCAAGTCCTCAAAGTTCACTGCATGCCTAGCGTTCCGCTGTTAGCCGACCGAGCCGTTCTCCCCAAGTCCTCAACGGTTCACGGTGCATGCACAGCGTTCCTCTCTTAGCCGACCGAGCCTTTCTCCACGTCCAAGTCCTCAACGTTTCGCTATGCGTGCATAGCGTTGCGCTCTTTGCCGACCAAACCTTTCCCCTTCCTCTCCCGGTGCCATGGGCAATGTGCGTGCGCGTGGGTGGGTATCTCGCGGGCTCTTTTTTTTTTTTTTCGTGGGTGGGCAGGCGCTCAACCTCGAGACGGAGACCGAGGTGAAATATAACAAGAGCTACCAGGCGTTGTACCGACAGCTCAAGGACGTTTTCACCAAGGTCGGCGCGACCGACTTCTTCGGCGTGGTGGGGGAGAAGTTCGTCTACACCCGACACGAGAAGGTATGCTTGATCTGCAGTACCCGAGGGACACAATCCAATCCATTCAAGCCACAACCCAATCCAAAAAGTCCGTCCGTCTAGCAGCAGCCAACGTGTTTTTTTCTTGTGCGGATTGTCGCAGGTTCCCTGTGGAATGTTCCTACGCGTGACTCGAATCCTGCTGCAACTATTCTCTGCGCTGTGATACTCCCACGTCCACCACAGAATGATGCGGCTAGACTGTACAGTAAAGTGGCTATCCCTCCGCACGTCCACCCACAATCTGTTTTGCTGTAGGAGCTGCCACCA